CACACCTCCACCACCACCACCAACACCTCCACCACCACCACCAACACCACCACCACCCCCACCACCAACACCTCCACCACCACCACCAACACCACCACCAACACCTCCACCACCACCACCACCCCCACCACCACCACCCCCACCACCACCACCACCACCTCACCCTCTCTCCCCTCTCCTCCCCACCATCTCCCCCACAGCACCACCACCACCACCTCCGCGTCTCCACCACCCCCGTCACCACCACCCCCCGTCACCACCACCACCGGTGGCGGTGCTACTGCTGTCCGGGGCTGCCGTACGCCAGCTCAGCCAGCGGACCGCGCGTAGCGGCCTTTCTGGGGCCCGGTGTGACGCTCCGTCTCCTGGTGCCGACCTTCCTCCCCTCGGGCCTGCCCCGAGGGGAGAGCTTCGTGGTGGTCGGCGGGGGCCCGGAGGGCGCGGAGGAGGAGCTGAGCAAGGCGCTGGCACGGAACGGCGACCGCATGGGCGGGAGATACGTGACGGTGAGGGGCAGGGAGGGGATGGCGGGTCGGGCCGCTCGCATCGCGATCGCTCGCTCACTCAGTCACTCACTCAGTCAGTCATTCAGTCACTCACTCAGTCAGTCACTCAGTCACTCACTCACTCAGTCACTCACTCACTCAGTCTCTCACTCATCACTCACTCAGTCTCTCACTCAGTCACTCACTTAGTCACTCACTCACTCACTCTCTCACTCAGTCACTCACTCACTCAGTCACTCACTCAGTCACTCACTCAGTCACACACTTAGTCACTCACTCACTCTCTCACTCAGTCACTCACTCACTCAGTCACTCACTCAGTCACTCACTCAGTCACACACTCACTCAGTCACTCACTCAGTCACTCACTCAGTCACTCTCTCCCCACTCTCTCCCCACTCTCTCCCCACCCACTCTCTCCCCACTCTCCCCCCACACTCCCCCCACTCTCTCCCCACCCATTCTTTCCCCCCACTCTCTCCCCACCCACTCTCTCCCCACTCTCTCCCCACCCACTCTCTCCCCACCCACTCTCTCCCCCCACTCTCCCCCCACTCTCTCCCCACTCTCTCCCCACTCTCTCCCCACTCTCTCCCCACCCACTCTCTCCCCACCCACTCTCTCCCCCCACTCTCTCCCCACTCTCTCCCCACTCTCTCCCCACTTCCCACCCACTCTCTCCCCACCCACTCTCCCCACCCACTCTCCCCACCCACTCTCTCCCCACTCTCTCCCCACTCTCTCCCCACCCACTCTCCCCACCCACTCTCCCCACCCACTCTCTCCCCACTCTCTCCCCACCCTCACTCTCTCCCCACTCTCCCCACCCACTCTCTCCCCACTCTCCCCACTCTCCCCACACTCTCCCCACCCACTCTCTCCCCACTCTCCCCCCACACTCCCCCCACTCTCTCCCCACCCACTCTCTCCCCCCACTCTCTCCCCACTCTCTCCCCACTTCCCACCCACTCTCTCCCCACCCACTCTCCCCACCCACTCTCCCCACCCACTCTCTCCCCACCCTCACTCTCTCCCCACTCTCCCCACCCACTCTCTCCCCACACTTTCCCCACTCCCCACCCACTCTCTCCCCACTCTCTCCCCACTCTCTCCCCACTCTCTCCCCACTCTCTCCCCACCCACTCTCCCCACCCACTCTCTCCCCACACTTTCCCCACTCCCCACCCACTCTCTCCCCACTCTCCCCACACTCTCCCCACCCACTCTCTCCCCACACTTTCCCCACTCCCCACCCACTCTCTCCCCACTCTCTCCCCACTCTCTCCCCACTCTCCCCCCACTCTCTCCCCATTCTCTCCCCACTCTCTCCCCACTCTCCCCACACTCTCCCCACCCACTCTCTCCCCATTCTCTCCCCACTCTCTCCCCACTCCCCACCCACTCTCTCCCCACTCTCTCCCCACTCTCTCCCCACACTCCCCCCACTCTCTCCCCACCCATTCTCTCCCCCCACTCTCTCCCCACCCACTCTCTCCCCACTCTCTCCCCACCCACTCTCTCCCCACCCACTCTCTCCCCCCACTCTCCCCCCACTCTCCCCCCACTCTCTCCCCACTCTCTCCCCACACACTCTCTCCCCACTCTCCCCCCACACTCCCCCCACTCTCTCCCCACCCACTCTCTCCCCCCACTCTCTCCCCACTCTCTCCCCACTCTCTCCCCACTTCCCACCCACTCTCTCCCCACCCACTCTCCCCACCCACTCTCCCCACCCACTCTCCCCACCCACTCTCTCCCCACTCTCTCCCCACCCTCACTCTCTCCCCACTCTCCCCACCCACTCTCTCCCCACTCTCCCCACTCTCCCCACACTCTCCCCACCCACTCTCTCCCCACTCTCTCCCCACCCACTCTCCCAACCCACTCTCTCCCCACTCTCTCCCCACCCACTCTCCCCACCCACTCTCTCCCCACTCTCTCCCCACTCTCTCCCCACTCCCCACCCACTCTCTCCCCACCCACTCTCTCCCCACTCTCTCCCCACTCTCTCCCCACTCTCCCCCCACTCTCCCCCCACTCTCTCCCCACCCACTCTCTCTCCACACTCTCCCCACTCCCCACCCACTCTCTCCCCACTCTCCCCACCCACTCTCTCCCCACTCTCCCCACTCTCCCCACACTCTCCCCACCCACTCTCTCCCCACTCTCCCCCCACACTCCCCCCACTCTCTCCCCACCCACTCTCTCCCCCCACTCTCTCCCCACTCTCTCCCCACTTCCCACCCACTCTCTCCCCACCCACTCTCCCCACCCACTCTCCCCACCCACTCTCTCCCCACCCTCACTCTCTCCCCACTCTCCCCACCCACTCTCTCCCCACACTTTCCCCACTCCCCACCCACTCTCTCCCCACTCTCTCCCCACTCTCTCCCCACTCTCTCCCCACTCTCTCCCCACCCACTCTCCCCACCCACTCTCTCCCCACACTTTCCCCACTCCCCACCCACTCTCTCCCCACTCTCCCCCCACTCTCCCCACCCACTCTCTCCCCACACTTTCCCCACTCCCCACCCACTCTCTCCCCACTCTCTCCCCACTCTCTCCCCACTCTCCCCCCACTCTCTCCCCACTCTCTCCCCACTCTCTCCCCATTCTCTCCCCACTCTCCCCCCACTCTCTCCCCATTCTCTCCCCACTCTCTCCCCACTCCCCACCCACTCTCTCCCCACTCTCTCCCCACTCTCTCCCCACACTCCCCCCACTCTCTCCCCACCCATTCTCTCCCCCCACTCTCTCCCCACCCACTCTCTCCCCACTCTCTCCCCACCCACTCTCTCCCCACCCACTCTCTCCCCCCACTCTCCCCCCACTCTCCCCCCACTCTCTCCCCACTCTCTCCCCACACACTCTCTCCCCACTCTCCCCCCACACTCCCCCCACTCTCTCCCCACCCACTCTCTCCCCCCACTCTCTCCCCACTCTCTCCCCACTCTCTCCCCACTTCCCACCCACTCTCTCCCCACCCACTCTCCCCACCCACTCTCCCCACCCACTCTCCCCACCCACTCTCTCCCCACTCTCTCCCCACCCTCACTCTCTCCCCACTCTCCCCACCCACTCTCTCCCCACTCTCCCCACTCTCCCCACACTCTCCCCACCCACTCTCTCCCCACTCTCTCCCCACCCACTCTCCCCACCCACTCTCTCCCCACTCTCTCCCCACCCACTCTCCCCACCCACTCTCCCCCCACTCTCTCCCCACTCTCTCCCCACTCCCCACCCACTCTCTCCCCACCCACTCTCTCCCCACTCTCTCCCCACTCTCTCCCCACTCTCCCCCCACTCTCCCCCCACTCTCTCCCCACCCACTCTCTCCCCACACTCTCCCCACTCCCCACCCACTCTCTCCCCACTCTCTCCCCACTCTCTCCCCACTCTCCCCCCACTCTCTCCCCACTCTCCCCCCAATCTCCCCCCACTCTCCCCCCACTCTCTCCCCACTCTCTTTCCACTCTCTCCCAACCCACCCACTCTCTCCCCACTCTCCCCCCACTCTCTCCCCACTCTCTTCCCACTCTCTCCCAACCCACCCACTCTCTCCCCACTCTCCCCCCACTCTCCCCCCACTCTCTCCCCACTCTCTTCCCACTCTCTCCCAACCCACCCACTCTCTCCCCACTCTCTCCCCACTCTCTCCCAACCCACCCACTCTCTCCCCCCACTCTCTCCCCCCACTCTCCCCCCACTCTCCCCCCACTCTCTCCCCACCCACTCTCTCCCCAGTCACTCAGTCCTCGCTGTCTCAGCTGGAGCTCGCCCAGGAGACTTGGAGAGTCTCTCTCGCCCGGGAGCGCTGCGTCCGGCTGCGGGGACTCCTCTACGAAGCCTCAGTCCACGACGTTCAACTCTTCTTTCCTGGTGAGTGAGAGAGTGGGTGGGTGGGTGGGTGGTGAGTGGGTGGGTGAGTGAATGGGTGAGTGAGTTGGTGGGTGAGTGAGTGAGAGAGTAGGTGGGTGAGTGGGTGAGTAGGTGAGTGGGTGGGTGGGTGAGTGAGTGAGTTGGTGGGTGAGTGAGTGAGAGAGTAGGTGCGTGAGTGGGTGAGTAGGTGAGTGAGTGAGTGGGTGAGTGAGTGAATGAGTGAGTGAGAGAGTGAGTGAGTGGGTGAGTGAGTGGGTGAGTGTATGAGTGAGTGTATGAGTGAGTGAGTGGGTGGGTGAGTGGGTGAGTGAGTGAGTGGGTGGGTGAGTGGGTGAGTGGGTGGGTGAGTGGGTGAGTGGGTGGGTGAGTGAGTGAGTGAGAGAGTGGGTGAGTGAGTGGGTGAGTGAGTCGGTGGGTGAGTGTGTGAGTGGTGGGTGAGTGGGTGAGTGAGTGGGTGAGTGGGTGGGTGAGTGAGTGGGTGAGTGAGTGGGTGAGTGGGTGAGTGGTGAGTGGGTGGGTGAGTGAATGGGTGAGTGAGTTGGTGGGTGAGTGGGTGGGTGGGTGAGTGGTGAGTGAGTGGGTGGGTGAGTGGGTGAGTAGGTGAGTGGGTGGGTGGGTGAGTGAGTGAGTTGGTGGGTGAGTGAGTGAGAGAGTAGGTGCGTGAGTGGGTGAGTAGGTGAGTGAGTGAGTGGGTGAGTGAGTGAATGAGTGAGTGAGAGAGTGAGTGAGTGGGTGAGTGTATGAGTGAGTGTATGAGTGAGTGAGTGGGTGAGTGAGTGGGTGAGTGAGTGAGTGGGTGGGTGAGTGGGTGAGTGGGTGGGTGAGTGGGTGAGTGGGTGGGTGAGTGAGTGAGTGAGAGAGTGGGTGAGTGAGTGGGTGAGTGAGTCGGTGGGTGAGTGTGTGAGTGGTGGGTGAGTGGGTGAGTGAGTGGGTGAGTGGGTGGGTGAGTGAGTGGGTGAGTGAGTGGGTGAGTGGGTGGGTGAGTGGTGAGTGAGTGTGTGAGTGAGTGTGTGAGTGAGTGTGTGAGTGGTGAGTGAGTGGGTGGGTGAGTGAGTGAGTGGGTGGGTGAGTGAGTGGGTGGGTGGGTGAGTGTATGAGTGAGTGTATGAGTGTATGAGTGAGTGGGTGAGTGAGTGAGTGAGTGTATGAGTGAGTGAGTGAGTGTGTGAGTGAGTGAGTGTGTGTGAGTGAGTGTATGAGTGTATGAGTGAGTGTATGAGTGAGTCAGTGTGTGAGTGAGTGAGTGTATGAGTGAGTGAGTGTGTTTCTGTGTCTCTGTGTCTCTCTGTGTAGACATCCCCGTAGAGAAACAGTCGGTGACTCTGTGTGTGGACGAGTGAGTGAGTGTGTGAGTGAGTGTGTGAGTGAGTGTATGAGTGAGTGAGTGTGTGAGTGAGTGAGTGTATGAGTGAGTGAGTGTATGAGTGAGTGAGTGAGTGTTTGAGTGAGTGAGTGAGTGTATGAGTGAGTGTATGAGTGAGTGTATGAGTGAGTGTGTCTCTCTCCCCGTGTCTCTGTGTCTCTGTGTCTCTCTGTGTAGACATCCCCGTAGAGACAGAGTCGGTGACTCTGTGTGTGGACGAGTTTGGGAGAGGCTCCGGCTTGGGCTTCGTGGTCTTTGACAGCCCAGAGACCGCTGAGAGAGCCACGCGGAGACACGGAGAGATGATGGGGCACAGGTGAGTGGGGGGCACAGGTAGTGGGGGGCTACAGGTGAGTGTGGGGGGCACAGGTAGTGGAGGGCACAGGTAGTGGGGGGCTACAGGTGAGTGTGGGGGGCACAGGTGAGTGTGGGGGGCACAGGTAGTGGGGGGCACAGGTGAGTGTGGGGGGCACAGGTGAGTTGGGGGCACAGGTGAGTGGAGGGCACAGGTAGTGGGGGGCACAGGTAGTGGGGGGCACAGGTAGTGGGGGGCACAGTTGAGTGTGGGGGGCACAGGTAGTGGGGGGCTACAGGTGAGTGGGGGGCACAGGTGAGTGGGGGGCTACAGGAGAGAGAGTGGGGGGCTACAGGTGAGTGGGGGGCTACAGGAGAGAGAATGGGGGGCTACAGGTAGTGGGGGGCTACAGGTGAGAGAGTGGGGGGTTACAGGTAGTGGGGGGCTACAGGAGAGAGAGTGGGGGGCTACAGGTAGTGGGGGGCTACAGGTGAGAGAGTGGGGGGCTACAGGTGAGAGAGAGTGGGGGGCACAGGAGAGTGGGGGGCTACAGGTGAGTGGGGGGCACAGGTGAGTGGGGGGCTACAGGAGAGAGAGTGGGGGGCTACAGGTGAGTGGGGGGCTACAGGAGAGAGAATGGGGGGCTACAGGTAGTGGGGGGCTACAGGTGAGAGAGTGGGGGGCTACAGGTAGTGGGTGGCTACAGGAGAGAGAGTGGGGGGCTACAGGTGAGAGAGTGGGGGGCTACAGGTGGGTGGGGGGCTACAGGTGAGAGAGTGGGGGGCTACAGGTAGTGGGGGGCTACAGGAGAGAGAGTGGGGGGCTACAGGTAGTGGGTGGCTACAGGAGAGAGAGTGGGGGGCTACAGGTGAGAGAGTGGGAGGCTACAGGTGGGTGGGGGGCTACAGGTGAGAGAGTGGGGGGCTACAGGAGAGAGAGTGGGGGGGCTACAGTTAGTGGGGGGCACAGGAGAGAGAGTGGGGGGCTACAGGTGAGAGAGTGGGGGGCTACAGGTATTGGGGGGCTACAGGTGAGAGAGTGGGGGGCTACAGGTAGTGGGGGGCTACAGGTGAGAGAGTGGGGGGCTACAGGTAGTGGGGGGGCTACAGGTGAGAGAGTGGGGGGCTACAGGTAGTGGGGGGCTACAGGTGAGAGAGTGGGGGGCTACAGGTGAGAGAGAGTGGGGGGCACAGGAGAGTGGGGGGCTACAGGTGAGTGAGTGGGGGCTACAGGTGAGAGAGTGGGGGGGGGGGAGGGGATACAAAGGTGGATGTGAAGAAGTTGTTGTTGACGATGTCGTTGATGTTGTTGACGATGTTGTTGATGTTGTTGACGATGTTGTTGTTGTTGACGATGTTGTTGTTGTTGACGTTGTTGTTGATGTTGTTGTTGATGTTGTTGTTGTTGACGTTGTTGATGTTGATGTTGTTGTTGTTGTTGACGTTGTTGTTGATGTTGTTGTTGATGTTGTTGTTGACGATGTTGTTGACGATGTTGTTGTTGACGTTGTTGTTGATGTTGACGTTGTTGATGTTGTTGTTGTTGACGTTGTTGACGTTGTTGTTGATGTTGTTGTTGTTGTTGACGTTGTTGATGTTGTTGACGATGTTGTTGATGTTAATGTTCTTGACGATGTTGTTGTTGTTGACGTTGTTGTTGATGTTGATGTTGTTGATGTTGTTGATGTTGTTGACGTTGTTGATGTTGTTGATGTTGTTGTTGTTGACGATGTTGTTGATGTTGTTGACGATGTTGTTGATGTTGTTGATGTTGTTGACGTTGTTGTTGATGTTGTTGATGTTGTTGATGTTGTTGACGTTGTTGATGTTGTTGTTGTTGACGATGTTGTTGATGTTGTTGACGATGTTGATGTTGTTGACGTTGATGTTGTTGACGTTGATGTTGTTGACGATGTTGTTGATGTTGTTGTTGATGTTGTTGTTGACGTTGTTGATGTTGTTGACGATGTTGTTGATGTTGATGTTGTTGTTGACGTTGTTGATGTTGTTGACGATGTTGTTGTTGACGATGTTGTTGTTGTTGACGTTGTTGATGTTGACGTTGTTGATGTTGTTGATGTTGTTGTTGTTGTTGACGTTGACGTTGTTGATGTTGTTGTTGACGATGTTGTTGACGATGTTGTTGTTGACGTTGTTGTTGATGTTGACGTTGTTGATGTTGTTGTTGTTGACGTTGTTGTTGACGTTGTTGTTGATGTTGTTGATGTTGTTGTTGTTGATGTTGTTGATGTTGTTGACGATGTTGTTGATGTTAATGTTCTTGACGATGTTGTTGTTGTTGACGTTGTTGTTGATGTTGTTGATGTTGTTGATGTTGTTGACGTTGTTGATGTTGTTGTTGTTGACGATGTTGTTGATGTTGTTGATGATGTTGATGTTGTTGACGTTGTTGTTGATGTTGTTGACGATGTTGTTGATGTTGTTGTTGATGTTGTTGACGTTGTTGATGTTGTTGTTGACGATGTTGTTGATGTTGTTGTTGACGTTGTTGATGTTGTTGACGATGTTGTTGTTGACGATGTTGTTGTTGTTGACGTTGTTGATGTTGACGTTGTTGATGTTGTTGTTGACGTTGTTGTTGATGTTGTTGTTGATGTTGTTGTTGACGATGTTGTTGACGATGTTGTTGTTGATGTTGTTGTTGACGATGTTGTTGACGATGTTGTTGTTGACGTTGTTGTTGATGTTGACGTTGTTGATGTTGTTGTTGTTGACGTTGTTGTTGACGTTGTTGTTGATGTTGTTGATGTTGTTGTTGTTGACGTTGTTGATGTTGTTGATGTTGTTGACGATGTTGTTGTTGACGTTGTTGATGTTGTTGATGTTGTTGACGATGTTGTTGATGTTAATGTTCTTGACGATGTTGTTGTTGTTGACGTTGTTGTTGATGTTGATGTTGTTGATGTTGTTGACGTTGTTGATGTTGACGATGTTGTTGATGTTGATGTTGTTGACGATGTTGATGTTGTTGACGTTGTTGTTGATGTTGTTGACGATGTTGTTGTTGATGTTGTTGTTGACGTTGTTGATGTTGTTGACGATGTTGTTGATGTTGATGTTGTTGTTGACGTTGTTGATGTTGTTGACGATGTTGTTGATGTTGATGTTGTTGTTGACGTTGTTGATGTTGTTGTTGACGATGTTGTTGATGTTGATGTTGTTGACGATGTTGTTGTTGTTGACGTTGTTGATGTTGTTGCTGACGATGTTGTTGATGTTGATGTTGTTGACGATGTTGATGTTGTTGACGTTGTTGTTGATGTTGTTGTTGATGTTGTTGTTGACGTTGTTGATGTTGTTGTTGACGATGTTGTTGATGTTGTTGTTGACGATGTTGTTGATGTTGATGTTGTTGACGATGTTGTTGTTGACGTTGACGTTGTTGATGTTGTTGACGATGTTGATGATGACGATGTTGACGATGTTGTTGTTGTTGACGATGTTGTTGTTGTTGACGATGTTGTTGTTGTTGACGTTGTTGATTTTGACGATGTTCACATTGTTGTTGTTGACGATGTTGATGTTGTTGACGATGTTGTTGACGTTGTTGTTGACGTTGTTGTTGTTGTTGCAGGATGGTGGAGGTCTATCGCTGCCGCAGTGAGGACATCGTCACCGTCATCCCCTCCAAGGCTCTCCGGCAGAAGTCCGCAAATCCCGGAGCCAGAATCCCCAATGCCGCTTCGGGATTCCGGAATCCCCGAACCGGAGATTGGAACTCCGGCCCGGATTTTGGATACTCCAACCCGAACTTTCAAAACCCGGCCACGGGATTACAAAACTCCCCACCTAGATTTCACAATCCCAATCCTGGATTCCAGAACCCGGATCCCAATCCTGGATTCCAGAATCCCAGTCCTGGATTCCAGAATCCGAATCCAGGTTTCCAGAATCCGCATCTTGGTTTCCGGAATCCCAATTCGGGATTCCAGAATCACAATGCTGGATTCCAGAATCCCAATCCGGGATTCCAAAATCCAAATCCGGGATTCCAGAAGCAGAATAAACAATTTCCGGACTCGGGCTCCGGATCCCGGTTTGTGGATCCCGCTCCGGGCTTTGGGAGGGCTCCCCGCTCTCGTCGGGCGTCGGGGCCCTGGGGGGGTGGCGGCGGAGTGTGGCGAGACGGAGTTTACCAAAACCTGGAGCGGAGCCATGGAGAGCAGAGTGAGGATCTGGATTGTGTCTGTGTGTGTAGTGCGTAGTGTTGTGTGCAGTGTGGTGTGTAGTGTGGTGTGTAGTGTAGTGTGGTGTGTAGTGTGTGTAGTGTAGTGTCTGTAGTGCGTAGTGTAGTGTGTGTAGTGTGGTGTGTAGTGTAGTGTGGTGTGTAGTGTGGTGTGTAGTGTAGTGTGGTGTCTGTAGTGCGTAGTGTAGTGTATTGTGTGTAGTGTGTGTAGTGTAGTGGAGAATGTAGTGTAGTGTAGTGTGTAGTGTGTGTAGTGTAGTGTCTAGTTAGTGTAGTGTAGTGTGTGTAGTGTGTGTAGTGTAGTGTGTGTAGTGTAGTGTCTAGTTAGTGTGTGTAGTGTAGTGTGTGTAGTGCGTAGTGTAGTGTGTGTAGTGTAGTGTGTGTATTGTAGTGTAGTGTGTGTATTGTAGTGTGTGTAGTGTAGTGTGTGTAGTGTAGTGTCTAGTTAGTGTGTGTAGTGTAGTGTGTAGCGCGTAGTGTAGTGTGTGTTGTGCTAATATGTGGGTCTGTATGGATGTCTCTGGGTCTCTGTGGGTCTGTATGGGTCTGGGTGTCTCTATAGGACTATATCAATCTCTGTAGGAGTCTCTGTGGGTCTCTATGGGTCTATGGGTCTGTCCCGTGACCTCCTCATGCACCTAGCCTGGCACAGCAGCAGTTAACCCATGGCACCTGCTGGGTCTGTCCTGTGACCTCCTCGTGCACCTAGCCTGGCACAGCAGCAGCAGTCAACCCATGGCACCTGCTGGGTCTGTCCCGTGACCTCCTCATGCACCTAGCCTGGCACAGGCATTGTGGTGACGTCACCGTAAATCGGTGGCGAGTGGCGGTTGTTATTGTTGTTGTGTATGTGTGTATGTGTGTATCTTTGTGTGTATGTATGTGTATGTGTGTGTATCTGTGTATGTGTGTGTGTTTATGTATGTGTGTGTGTATGTATGTGTGTGTGTATCTGTGTGTGTGTATATGTGTATCTGTGTGTGTATGTGTGTGTGTCTTTCTCTGCGTGTGTCTATCTGTGTGTCTATCTGTGTGCATCTATCTTCATGCCTATCTCTCCGTGTCTGTCTATCTGCGTCTGTCTCTTAGTGTGTCTCTGTCTGCGTGTGTCTCTGTCTAGGAGACTGAATCTTTACCCTCGGGGCTCCTCCAGAAACAACATTAAACCACTACGTGTGGCCACGTGGAATGTTCGAACGCTCACTGCGGAGGAGAGGCTCCCACTCCTCTGTCGGGAGCTGGACCGGTACCGCCTGGATCTCTGTGGCATTCAGGAGGTCCGGTGGACCGGCTCTGGCTCCTGCCACCATGAGGGGTGGACAGTCCTCTACTCGGGGCAGCAGACTGCCAAACAACAGGGTGTGGGTCTTCTTTTGAACAAAAGAATGAAGGGGGCGTGGGAGCGTGGCGCTGAGGTGTGGGATGCTGTAAGCCCCAGACTACTTTGGGCTCGCCTTCCCATCAACCAGAGGCGAGGAGTGGTGGTCGTGGTTACTTATGCCCCCACCGAAGATGAACATCTGTGGAGGGATGCAGGCAAGGCCGATGAGTCAGATGCCTTCTATGACTTCCTGTCACAGGTGCTGGCTAAAGTGGCCCCTCGGGATAGAGTCATCTTGTTGGGTGACTTCAATGCCCGAGTTGGTCATGATACTGGCACCTGGTCTGGAGTTATTGGAAGGCATGGTCCAGATCAGCTCAAAACAATGGCAGGAGGCTTCTAAATTTTTGTGCAGCTCATGGGCTTGTAATTACCAACACACTGTTCCTGCATCGGCGCATCCACACAAACATCATGGATGCATGCCGGGTCCAAGCAAGAACATTTGCTGGACTACATAGTGACGGACCAGCGGATGGGAGCCCATGTCCTTGACACCAGGACCTACCGTGGAGCTGATCTGCCCTCTGACCATCGACTTGTCATCTGTAAGATGCGCCTGCCATTCTTCCACTCCGGTGGTGGGTGTACACCCAGGATCCCATTCCAACCTAAAGTGGCCTCACACTTAACTTACAATTTAGCAATCTTTGAAATAACGTAATCAACCTGACCTTGCGTTAATTGTGTTTTGACCGACCGTCTGTGTTGCGTTATATGGTTTCCAAATCTTGCTAAAGCCTGTTTGATTTAGTGTGCTCCCACGTTTCTCTCTCTCTGTATCCCCTGTTGTATCTGTGTCTGTACATATACCTGCGGTTATGTGTCTCCTCTCTCTCGTAAATTTAGCTCTTCTGTACCCGATGATGATTGCTTGTGTTGCAATCGAAACGTCGTACACTGTTATGTTATTTTATTATTTCTACGTGACTTTACCGAAAAAAATAACAAACAAAGAATAATTCCTGCAGTCGCAAAAGCTCCAAATTCAGGTGGGGCCTTACCATCAGCCCCACCAAAACTAAGCACCTGCCTGGGTATTTTGTACCATCGGACACTCCACCCCCACAACTCCCAATCGGTGATGGGGCAGCTGTGGAGAGAGTGGAGGGTTTCCCATACCTGGGCAGTGTGCTTATGACCGGCTCCAGTTTAAAAGCAGAGATCTCACTCCGAATCAGTCGAGCGGCAATATCTTTTCATCGGTTGCGTAATGCTGTGTGGAAGCTACCTGGTCTGTCGCTCCGCACTAAGCTTCGGGTCTTCTCGGCCACGGTCATTCCCTCCCTTCTCTACGCTTGCGAAACGTGGACCCCCCTAATGGAACATTTTCGCCGGTTAGAAACATTTAGGCTGGCCTGACGACGATCCATCCTGGGTTTAACCAGACTGGATTGTGTGAGGAGCTCACAAATCCTTTTAAGATCTGGGCAAGGTCCCATCGGTGAGCTCCTCCGGTGGGCAAGGCTGCGATGGCTGGGTCATGTAGCCCGCATGCCCAGCCACCGCATGCCGAAACAGCTTTTGTTCGGCCGGATCGAGGGTGCTAAGCGGGCGCGGCACGGGCTAGAGAAGAGATGGAGTGATGTGGTACAGGAGGACGTGGAGCTGAGTGGACTTGCCGAAGACTGGTACCAGCGGTGTCAAGATCGGCCTCTGTGGAGGAGGCTCGTGAAGGACGCTAGTGGGCAGTTGGAGGCAGTCGCCCTCCCAACAACAACAGAGGGCGGAGGAGCGACGCTCACAACAACGAGCGGAGCACCGGGTGGCTAAAGCACAGCAGGTTGGCACAGTAGGGGGCACAGGTGGTGCATCAGCCAGTCATCTCAGTCAGTCGACCCATGGCACCTGGGTCTGCCCCGTGACCTCCTGCCAGCGGGCGTTCGACACTTCACGTGGCCTCAGGGTGCACATACCCTGGCACAAGCGTCGTGGTGACGTCACTGCCACTTAGTGGCGAATGGTGGTTGTTGTTGTTGAGTGTGTATCTGTGTGTGTCTGTGTGTGTCCAGGCTCCGGGTTCTGTGTTCACATGCGAGGATTGCCTTTTGAAGCCACGGAGCAAGACATCCGGGAGGTCAGAGAGACATGGAGAGAGACACGGAGACAGAGAGACAGAGACATGGAGAGACACAGAGAGACATGGAGAGAGACACGGAGACACAGAGAGACAGAGACACGGAGAGACACACAGAAACACGGAGAGAGACAGAGACATAGAGACACAGAGAGACACGGAGAGAGATACTGAGACACAGAGACAGAGAGACACGGAGAGAGACAGAGAGAGACATAAAGACAGAGACACGGAGAGAGATGATGAGACACAGAGAGACAGAGACTCGGAGAGAGACAGAGAGAGAGACACACAGAGAGACACGGAGACACAGAGAGACAGAGACACGGAGAGAGCGAGAGAGAGACATAGAGACACAGAGAGACACGGAGAGAGATGCTGAGACAGAGAGACAGAGACTCGGAGAGAGACAGAGAGAGAGAAAGAGACATAGAGACTCAGAGAGACACGGAGAGAGACATGGGGAGAGAGAAACACGGAGAGAGAGACACAGAGAGAGAGAGAGAACCACTAACCACCTCTATTGTCTTGTGTCTTCCTGTGTGTCTCTCCCCGTGTCTCTCTCTCCCCGTGTCTCTCTCTCCCCGTGTCTCTCTCTCCCCGTGTCTCTCTCTCTCTCCCCGTGTCTCTCTCTCCCCGTGTCTCTCTCCCCGTGTCTCTCTCCCCGTGTCTCTCTCTCCCCGTGTCTCTCTCTCCCCATGTCTCTCTCTCTCTTTCTCCTCGTGTCTCTCTCTCCCCGTGTCTCTCTCCCCATGTCTCTCTCCCCATGTCTCTCTCTCCCCGTGTCTTTCTCTCCCCGTGTCTCTCTCTCCCCGTCTCTCTCTCTCTCCCTGTGTCTCTCTCTCCCCGTGTCTCTCTCTCTCCCCGTGTTTCTCTCTCTCCCCGTGTCTCTCTCTCCCCGTGTCTCTCTCCCCGTGTCTCTCTCTCCCCGTGTCTCTCTCTCCCCGCGTCTCTCTCTCTCCGTGTCTCTCTCTCCCCGTGTCTCTCTCTCCCCGTGTCTCTCTCTCCCCGTGTCTCTCTCTCCCCGTTTCTCTCTCTCCCCGTGTCTCTCTCCCCGTGTCTCTCTCTCCCCGTGTCTCTCTCTCCCCGTGTCTCTCTCTCCCCGTGTCTCTCTCTCCCCGCGTCTCTCTCCCTCCGTGTGTCTCTCTCCCCGTGTCTCTATCCCCGTGTCTCTCACCCCGTGTCTCTCTCTCCCCGTGTGTCTCTCTCCCCGTGTCTCTATCCCCGTGTCTCTCACCCCGTGTCTCTCTCTCCCCGTGTCTCTCTCTCCCCGTGTCTCTCTCTCTCACCGTGTCTCTCTCTCTCACCGTGTCTCTCTCTCACCGTGTCTCTCTCTCCCCCTGTCTCTCTCTCCACGTGTCTCTCTCTCTCTCCCCGTGTCTCTCTCTCTCCTCGTGTCTCTCTCTCCCCGTGTCTCTCTCTCCCCGTGTCTCTGCCTGTGTCTCTCTCTCCCCGTGTCTCTCTCCCCGTGTCTCTCTCCCCGTGTGTCTCTATCCCCGTGTCTCTCACCCCGTGTCTCTCTCTCCCCGTGTCTCTCTCTCCCCATGTCTCTCTCTCCCCGTGTCTCTCTCTCCCCGTGTCTCTCTCCCCGTGTCTCTCTCTCCCCGTGTCTCTCTCTCCCCGTGTCTCTCTCTCCCCGTGTCTCTATCCCCGTGTCTCTCACCCCGTGTCTCTCTCTCCCCATGTCTCTCTCTCCCCGTGTCTCTCTCTCCCCGTGTCTCTGCCTGTGTAGTTCTTCTCCCCGCTTGTCCCAGTGCGTGTGTCTGTGTCCGTGTCTCGCTCCGGCCGTCCGACCGGCGAGGCGGACGTGGAGTTCAGCACCAGCGGAGACGCCGTCACAGCCATGGAGCGAGACCACAAACACATGGGTGCTGAACACGCAGAGACACGCACAGACACACAGAGACACGCACAGAGACACACACAGAGACACACACAGACACACACAGATACACACACAGAGACACACAGACACACACAGAGACACAGAAACACACGCAGAGACACACAGAGACACGCACAGCGACACACAGAGACACACAGAGACACACGCAGAGACACACACAGAGACACACAGACACACAGAGACATGCACAGAGGCACACGCAGAGACACACACAGAGACACACAGAGATACACAGAGACACACGCAGAGACACACACACAGACACGCAGAGACACTCACAGACACTCACAGAGAGACACGCACAGAGACACACACAGAGACACACGCAGAGACACACAGAGAGACACGCACAGAGACACGCACAGACACACACAGAGACACACGCAGAGACACACGCAGACGCAGAGGCACACGCAGAGACACACACAGAGATACACACAGAGACACACACAGAGACAGACACAGACACAGAGACACAGACATGGAGACACACAGAGACACGGAGGCAAAGAGACACACACGGATACACACGGAGATCACAAACACACACGCAGAGACACACAGCCACACACAGAGACATAGTCAGTAGATACTACTGTAGAGGCAGCAGATACTATATGTGTATTTATCTATCTATCTCTCCGTGTGTCTGTATATCTGTGTGTGTATCTATATCACAAATCCCTATTTAACTCCATGAAAAAGGTAACCTGCAGCACCACACCTATTACCATCATTAGGGGAAAGAACGGTGATCTAATCTCCGACCCCCAGGAATAGGTTTGCAAATTTGGTGAGCATTTCTGTGCGGTCCTGGGCGAGGGGGAATCCCTCAGCCTTGAAAACATCGTGGCACAAAGTGGGGATGACCCTGCCGAGGCTGCGGTGCCTCAAATATTGGAGGAGGAAGTCACCCCCTGTGAGTGGCTGGCTGAAGTGCCATCTGTTGAGGAAGTACTGAGGGCGATCCAGAGTCTGAGACCAGGAAAGGCACCGGGCAGAGATGATCTCCCAAGCGAAATGCTGAGGGAGGGTGGCGTTTGTGCACAGACTGCCCTATATGACATCATAACAACGGTCTGGACCACTGGACGGGTTCCGCAGGATTGGAATGATGCCCTGGTGGTCCCCCTCTTTAAGAAGGGGGACCGCACAGACTGTAACAACTACAGGGGCATCTCACTCCTCAGTGTGCCGGAAAAGGTCCTGGCAAGGATTATTCAACATCGCCTTGCCAGGCACGCTGAGGAGAGGCTTGCAGAGCCCCAATGCGGTTTCAGGAAAGGGCGGTCCTTCACAGATGCCATATTTTCTGTCCGTCTGCTACAGCAGAGGTGTAGGGAATTCCAACAGGACCTACATCTCTGCTTCATTGACCTAGTCAAGGCCTATGATACCATCAGTAGGCCTGGGCTATGGGTTGTTCTTCGTGCTTTCGGAGTCCCTGACCCTCTGCTCACGATCATTAAGGACCTTCATGATGGTGAGAGGCCCGGGTAAAACTACGTGGCCCGGAGTCAGAGCCATTCCCTGTTCACCTTGGGGTGCGACAGGGATGTCCTCTGGCTCCCACATTATTTAACATCTATTTTGACCACGTAGTTCGTGAAGCCTTCAATAGCTGTACCGGGGGAATCTCCATATGGTACAGATATAATGGGAGGCTGATCGATGCCCGGGTGCGGTCAAGGGATGGCTCCCTATTGCTCAACCACGTTATGTATGCTGATGATTTGGTAATAGCTGCTCAGTCAGAGGAGGAGTTGGAGACGCTGCTGCTGAGACTGGAGCGTGCCACTAAGAGGTGGGGCCTTACCATCAGCCCCACCAAAACTAAGCACCTGCCTGGGTATTTTGTACCATCAGACACTCCACCCCCACAACTCCCAATCGGTGATGAGGCAGTTGTGGAAATAGTGGAGAGTTTCCCATACCTGGGCAGTGTGCTTATCACCGGCTCCAGTTTAACAGCAGAGGTCTCACTCCGAATCAGTCGAGCGGCAATATATTTTCATCGGTTGCGTAACGCTGTGTGGAAGCTACCTGGTCTGTTGTTCCGCACCAAGCTTCAGGTCTTCTCGGCCACAGTCATTCCCTCCCTTCTCTACGCTTGCGAAACGTGGACCCCCCTAATGGAGCATCTTCGCCGGTTAGAAACATTTAGGCTGGCCTGCCTACGATCCATCCTGGGTGTAACCAGACTGGATTGTGTGAGGAGCTCACAAATCCTTGAAAGATCTGGGCAAAGTCCCATCGGTGAGCTCCTCCGGCAGGCAAGGCTGCGATGGCTGGGTCATGTAGCCCGCATGCCCAGCCACCGCATGCCGAAACAGCTTTTGTTTGGCCGGATTGAGGGGGCTAAGCGGGCGCGGCACGGGCTAGAGAAGAGATGGAGTGATGTGGTACAGGAGGACGTGGAGCTGAGTGGACTTGCCGATGACTGGTACCAGCGGTGTCAAGATCGGCCTCTGTGGAGGAGGCTCGTGAAGGATGCTACTGGGCAGTTGGAGGTAGTCGCCCTCCAACAACAACGGAGGGCGGAGGAGCGACGCTCACAACAACGAGCGGAGTGCCGGGTGGCCAAAGCACAGCAGGTTGGCACAGTAGGGGGCACAGGTGGTGCATCAGCCAGTCATCTCAGTCAGTCGACCCGTGGCACCTGGGTCTGCCCCATGACCTCATGCCAGCGGGCGTTCGACACTTCACGTGGCCTCAGGGTGCACATAGCCTGGCACAAGCGTCGTGGTGACGTCACCGCCACTTAGTGGCGAATGGCGGTTGTTGTTGTGTGTGTGTATATATCTACGTGTGTGTCTGTGTGTGTGCCTGTGTTTGTGTGTATCTGTGTGTGTATATATATCTATGTGTGTGTCTGTGTGTGTATATCTGTGTGTGTATCTGTGTGTGTGTATATATATCTACGTGTGTGTCTGTGTGTGTGTATCTGTGTGTGTGTTGCAGGCCGTCGCTACATCGAACTCTTTCTCAACGCTCCGCTGAGCCCGCCCACTGAGAAGCCCCCATCGCCCATCACCACCTCCACCACCTCCACCCCAGAGTTGGCTGGTCCTGGGTTCAACTCCCAGACCGAATCTACGCTCAGTGAGGAGGAGGAGGATGAGACAGATGAGGATGAGACAGATGAGGATGAGGAGGTTGTTGTGAAAGATGTCCACAAACAGCCGTAAGTACAGCAACATCATCATTAGCATAATTATCATCAACAGCATCATCAGTAGCATCATCAGCAGTATCATCAGAATCATTATCAGCAGCAGCATCACCATCATCGCCATGGTAACGGGCTGTACAGTATGCGGTGTAAAATTTAATCAAGAATTTTGAGTCACGGAGCCAGAAATCAAACTGCTTGAGGCCTGGGGCCTGGAGCCTTGGGGCCTTGGGGCCTAGGGCCCTGGGGCCTGGGGGCCTGGGGCCTTGAGGCCTTGGGGGCCCTGGGGCCTTGAGGCCTGGGGGCCTTGGGGCCTTGAGGCCTTGGGCTCTGGGGCCTTGAGGCCTGGGGCCTTGAGGCCTTGGGGCCTGGGGCCTTGAGGCCTTCGGCCCTGGGGCCTTGAGGCCTTGGGGCCTTGAGGACTTGGGGCCTTGAGGACTTGGGGCCTTGGGGCCTAGGGCCCTGGGGCCTTGGGCCCTGGGCCCTGGGGCCTTGAGGCCTTGGGGCCTGGGGTCTTGGGGCCTGAGGCCTGGGGCCTTGAGGCCTTGGGACCTGGGGCCTTGAGGCCTTGGGGCCTGGGGCCTGGGGCTTTGAGGCCTTGGGGCCTGGGGCCTTGGGGCCCTGGGGCCTTGAGGACTTGGGGCCTTGGGGCCTTGGGGCCTAGGGCCCTGGGGCCTGGGGCCCTGGGGCCTGGGGCCTGGGGGCCTGGGGGCCTTGAGGCCTTGGGGCCTGGGGGCCTGGGGGCTTGGGGCCTGGGGGCCTGGGGGCCTGGTGCTTGGGGCCTGGGGGCCTTGGGGCCTGGGGGTCCTGGCGCCTTGAGGCCTTGGTTCCTGGGGCCTGGGGCCTGGAGCCTTGAGACCTTGGGGCCTAGGGCCCTGGGGCCTTGGGGCCTTGGTCCCTGGGGCCTGGGGGTCTGGGGGCCTGGGGCCTTGGCCTGGGCCCTGAGGCCTGGAGCAGGCCACATGTGAATAATTAAATAATGAATTTGCTGATTTCCCTCCCTCGTGCAGGAAGGAGGTGGGAGACAGCGCCGCACAGCATTGTGGGAAGCCAGAGTGAGGGGGAGTGGTCGCCATGGAGATGAGGGGGGGGAGTGTGGAGGGGTCACCATGGAGATGATGGGGGCAGTCGCCATGGAGATGATGGGGTGGATGCCATGGAGATGAGGTGTTTTCACCATGGAGATGATGGGGTCGTTCACCATGGAGATGATGAGGGCAGTCGCCATGGAGATGATGGGGTGGTTGCCATGGAGACGAGAGGGGTGGTCGCCATGGAGATGATGGTGGCGGTCGCCATGGAGATGATGGGGACGGTCACCATGGAGATGAGAGGGGTGGTCGCCATGGAGATGATGAGGGCGGTCGCCATGGAGATGATGGGGGCAGTTGCCATGGAGATGAGAGGAGTGGTCGCCATGGAGATGATGGTGGCGGACGCCATGGAGATGATGGGGACGGTCACCATGGAGATGAGAGGGGTGGTCGCCATGGAGATGATGAGGGCGGTCGCCATGGAGATGATGGGGGCAGTTGCCATGGAGATGATGGGAAGGTATACAGGCGACTCTTGTTCAACCATTGCAAATGTTTAACCCAATAAATTTATTCTGATTTCTTATTCAAGTGGTGGGTGAGTTGATGAGTGGGTGGGTGAGTGGGTGGGTGGGTGAGTGGGTGAGTGGGTGAGTGGGTGGGTGAGTGGGAGAGTGAGTGAGTGGGTGGGTGGGTGAGTGGGTGATTGGGTGAGTGGGTGGGTGAGTGGGTGAGTGAGTGGGTGGGTGAGTGAGTGGGTGAGTGGGTGAGTGAGTGGGTGGATGGGTAGGTGAGTGGGTGGGTGAGTGGGTGGGTGAGTGGGTGGATGAGTGGGTGGGTGGGTGAGTGGGTGGGTGAGTGGGTGGTTGAGTGGTGGGTGAGTGGGTGGATGAGTGGTTGGGTGGCTGGGTGAGTGAGTGAGTAAGTGAGTGGGTGGGTGGGTGATTGAGTGAGTGGGTGGGTGATTGAGTGAGTGAGTGGATGGGTGAGTGAGTGGGTGAGTGGGTGGATGGGTGAGTGAGTGGGTGGGTGGGTGAGTGGATGAGTGAGTGAGTGGGTGAGTGGGTGGGTGGGTGAGTGGGTGGGTGAGTGAGTGAGTGGGTGAGTGGGTGGGTGGGTGGGTGAGTGGGTGAGTGAGTGGTGGGTGGGTGGGTGGGTGAGTGGTGGGTGGGTGGGTGAGTGAGTGAGTGGATGGGTGAGTGAGTGGGTGGAGGAGTGAGTGAGTGGGTGAGTGGGTGGGTGGGTGAGTGGTGGGTGGGTGAGTGAGTGGGTGGATGGGTGAGTGAGTGGGTGGATGGGTGAGGAGTGAGTGGGTGGATGAGTGAGTGGGTGAGTGGGTGGGTGGGTGAGTGGATGAGTGGGTGGGTGGGTGAGTGGGTGAGTGGATGAGTGGGTGGGTGAGTGGGTGGGTGAGTGGTGGGTGGCTGGATGAGTGAGTGAGTAAGTGAGTGGGTGAGTGGGTGGGTGAGTGGTGGGTGGGTGGGTGAGTGAGTGAGTAAGTGAGTGGGTGGGTGATTGAGTGAGTGAGTGGGTGGGTGATTGAGTGAGTGAGTGGGTGGGTGAGTGGGTGGGTGAGTGGGTGAGTGGGTGGGTGGGTGAGTGGGTGGGTGGGTGGATTAGTGGGTGGGTGGGTGGGTGAGTGAGAGGGTGGGTGGGTGGATGGGTGGGTGATTTGGTGAGTGAGTTGTTGAGTGAGTTAGTGAGTGGGTGAGTGAGTTAGTGAGTGGGTGGGTGCGTGGATGGGTGGGTGGATGAGTGGGTGGGTGAGTGGGTGGGTGACTGAGTTGGTGACTGAGTTGGTGAGTGAGTGGGTGCGTGAGTTGGTGGGTGAGTAGGTGAGTGAGTTGGTGAGTGAGTGAGTTGGTGAGGGAGTGAATGGCCGATAGAGACCCATATAGATGCAGACTCATAAACGAAACGCTGTATTTTTATTATTCCCAGGCTGCAAGGCGTCACTGAGCTCGCTGCTGTGCAGCTGATTCACGAGAAGCGACCTGGGTCAACGCAAAAACGATTGCAGCTCGAACGAGTGGCAGATGTCATCGTCGTCGTCAATTTTCGGTTTTCAGTTTCAGTTTATTTATTTTGGTATCGCCCCCGTGAGCCATTTGGCAACCGCACCAAACAAAAAACAAAAAACACGAACAAGAAAAACATCTTAAAGTGACTGCGTCTGACTTTGAGCAAACAGAAAATCCATGGAAAAAAACAACAACGGCAAAATATTCCAGAAAAAAGCACGGTTACATCACGAACGCTGCGTGTAAAGGAAATCCCAGTGGGATGCAAAGTCAAACAACAACTACAACAACCACAACCACCACAACAACAACCACCACAAGACAACTTAGATTAAGGCCGTCAGTCTAACTCCGTACTACAACAACCACAACCACCACAACAACAACAACCACCACAACAACCACAACCACAAGACAACTTAGATTAAGGCCATCAGTCTAACTCCGTACTACAACAACAACCACAAGACAACTTAGATTAAGGCCATCAGTCTAACACCGTACTACAACAACCACCACAAGACAACTTAGATTAAGGCCATCAGTCTAACACCGTACTACAACAACCACCACAAGACAACTTAGATTAAGGCCATCAGTCTAACTCCGTACTACAACAACAACAACAAGACAACTTAGATTAAGGCCATCAGTCTAACTCCGTACTACAACAACAACCACAAGACAACTTAGATTAAGGCCATCAGTCTAACTCCGTACTACAACAACCACCACAAGACAACTTAGATTAAGGCCATCAGTCTAACTCCGTACTACAACAACCACCACAAGACAACTTAGATTAAGGCCGTCAGTCTAACTCTGTACTACAACAACAACCACAAGAAAACTTAGATTAAGGCCATCAGTCTAACTCCGTACTACAACAACAACCACAAGACAACTTAGATTAAGGCCATCAGTCTAACTCCGTACTACAACAACAACCACAAGAACACTTAGATTAAGGCCATCAGTCTAACGCCGTACTACAACAACAACCACAAGAAAACTTAGATTAAGGCCATCAGTCTAACTCCGTACCACAACAACAACCACAAGAAAACTTAGATTAAGGCCATCAGTCTAACTCCGTACTACAACAACAACCACAAGACAACTTAGATTAAGGCCGTCAGTATAACTCCGTACTACAACAACAACCACAAGACAACTTAGATTAAGGCCATCAGTCTAACTCCGTACTACAACAACAACCACAAGAACACTTAGATTAAGGCCATCAGTCTAACTCCGTACTACAACAACAACCACAAGAACACTTAGATTAAGGCCATCAGTCTAACTCCGTACTACAACAACAACCGCAAGACAACTTAGACTAAGGCCGTCAGTCTAACTCCGTACTACAACAACAACCACAAGACAACTTAGATTAAGGCCGTCAGTCTAACTCCGTACTACAACAACAACCACAAGACAACTTAGATTAAGGCCATCAGTCTAACTCCGTACTACAACCACAACCACAAGACAACTTAGATTAAGGCCATCAGTCTAACTCCATACTACAACAACAACCACAAGACAACTTAGATTAAGGCCATCATTCTAACTCCGTACTACAACAACAACCACAAGACAACTTAGATTAAGGCCGTCAGTCTAACTCCGTACTACAACAACAACCACAAGACAACTTAGATTAAGGCCGTCAGTCTAACTCCGTACTACAACAACAACCACAAGACAACTTAGATTAAGGCCATCAGTCTAACTCCGTACTACAACAACCACCACAGGACAACTTAGATTAAGGCCATCAGTCTAACACCGTACTACAACAACAACCACAAGACAACTTAGATTAAGGCCATCAGTATAACTCCGTACTACAACAACAACCACAAGAAAACTTAGATTAAGGCCATCAGTTTAACTCCGTACTACAACAACAACCACAACACAACTTAGATTAAGGCCGTCAGTCTAACTCCATACTACAACAACAACCACAAGCCAACTTAGATTAAGGCCATCAGTCTAACTCCGTACTACAACAACAACCACCACAAGACAACTTAGATTAAGGCCGTCAGTCTAACTCCGTACTACGACAAACAACCGCAAGACAACTTAGATTAAGGCCGTCAGTCTAACTCCGTACTACAACAACAAACACAAGACAACTTAGATTAAGGCCGTCAGTCTAACTCCGTATTACAACAACCACCACAAGACAACTTAGATTAAGGCCATCAGTCTAACACCATACTACAACAACAACCACGAGACAACTTAGATTAAGGCCGTCAGTCTAACTCCGTACTACAACAACAACCACAAGACAAGTTAGATTAAGGCCGTCAGTCTAACTCCGTACTACAACAACCACCAAAAGACAACTTAGATTAAGGCCATCAGTCTAACACCATACTACAACAACAACCACAAGACAACTTAGATTAAGGCCATCAGTATAACTCCGTACTACAACAACAACCTCAAGACAACTTAGATTAAGGCCATCAGTCTAACTCCGTATTACAACAACAACCGCAAGCCAACTTAGATTAAGGCCATCATTCTACCTCCGTACTACAACAACCTTAGAATAAGGCCATCAGTCTAACTCCGTACTACAACAACAATAACAACAAGACAACTTAGATTAAGGCCATCAGTCTAACTCCGTACTACAACAACCACCACAAGACAACTTAGATTAAGGCCATCAGTCTAACTCCGTACTACAACAACAACCACAAGAAAACTTAGATTAAGGCCATCAGTCTAACTCCGTACTACAACAACAACCACAAGACAACTTAGATTAAGGCCGTCAGTATAAATCCGTACTACAACAACAACCACAAGACAACTTAGATTAAGGCCATCAGTCTAACTCCGTACTACAACAACAACCACAAGAACACTTAGATTAAGGCCATCAGTCTAACTCCGTACTACAACAACAACCACAAGAACACTTAGATTAAGGCCATCAGTCTAACACCATACTACAACAACAACCACAAGACAACTTAGATTAAGGCCATCAGTATAACTCCGTACTACAACAACAACCTCAAGACAACTTAGATTAAGGCCATCAGTCTAACTCCGTATTACAACAACAACCGCAAGCCAACTTAGATTAAGGCCATCATTCTACCTCCGTACTACAACAACCTTAGAATAAGGCCATCAGTCTAACTCCGTACTACAACAACAATAACAACAAGACAACTTAGATTAAGGCCATCAGTCTAACTCCGTACTACAACAACCACCACAAGACAACTTAGATTAAGGCCATCAGTCTAACTCCGTACTACAACAACAACCACAAGAAAACTTAGATTAAGGCCATCAGTCTAACTCCGTACTACAACAACAACCACAAGACAACTTAGATTAAGGCCGTCAGTATAAATCCGTACTACAACAACAACCACAAGACAACTTAGATTAAGGCCATCAGTCTAACTCCGTACTACAACAACAACCACAAGAACACTTAGATTAAGGCCATCAGTCTAACTCCGTACTACAACAACAACCACAAGAACACTTAGATTAAGGCCATCAGTCTAACTCCATA